AGCAGCCAAAGCGAATGTGAGAAGCGGTGCTCAGAAACAACGCAGACAGAACTCCCACAATGCCTTAGCTTCAACAGCAGCTGCAGCTCAATCCCCCTCTTTGAGGTTCTGGGTCTTTTTCTGGATGAGAAAATGGAGTTCTGTAACAAACTGTAGATACTAACAGTCTGAATCATGTCATCACAGTAGTCATCACAGTAGTTATGACGGTAGTCATCACAGTAGTTATGACGGTAGTCATCACAGTAGTTATGACGGTAGTCATCACAGTAGTTATGACGGTAGTCATCACAGTAGTTATGACGGTAGTCATCACAGTAGTTATGACGGTAGTCATCACAGTAGTTATGACGGTAGTCATCACAGTAGTTATGACGGTAGTCATCACAGTAGTTATGACGGTAGTCATCACAGTAGTTATGACGGTAGTCATCACAGTAGTTATGACGGTAGTCATCACAGTAGTTATGACGGTAGTCATCACAGTAGTTATGACGGTAGTCATCACAGTAGTTATGACGGTAGTCATCACAGTAGTTATGACGGTAGTCATCACAGTAGTTATGACGGTAGTCATCACAGTAGTTATGACGGTAGTCATCACAGTAGTTATGACGGTAGTCATCACAGTAGTTATGACGGTAGTCATCACAGTAGTTATGACGGTAGTCATCACAGTAGTTATGACGGTAGTCATCACAGTAGTTATGACGGTAGTCATCACAGTAGTTATGACGGTAGTCATCACAGTAGTTATGACGGTAGTCATCACAGTAGTTATGACGGTAGTCATCACAGTAGTTATGACGGTAGTCATCACAGTAGTTATGACGGTAGTCATCACAGTAGTTATGACGGTAGTCATCACAGTAGTTATGACGGTAGTCATCACAGTAGTTATGACGGTAGTCATCACAGTAGTTATGACGGTAGTCATCACAGTAGTTATGACGGTAGTCATCACAGTAGTTATGACGGTAGTCATCACAGTAGTTATGACGGTAGTCATCACAGTAGTTATGACGGTAGTCATCACAGTAGTTATGACGGTAGTCATCACAGTAGTTATGACGGTAGTCATCACAGTAGTTATGACGGTAGTCATCACAGTAGTTATGACGGTAGTCATCACAGTAGTTATGACGGTAGTCATCACAGTAGTTATGACGGTAGTCATCACAGTAGTTATGACGGTAGTCATCACAGTAGTTATGACGGTAGTCATCACAGTAGTTATGACGGTAGTCATCACAGTAGTTATGACGGTAGTCATCACAGTAGTTATGACGGTAGTCATCACAGTAGTTATGACGGTAGTCATCACAGTAGTTATGACGGTAGTCATCACAGTAGTTATGACGGTAGTCATCACAGTAGTTATGACGGTAGTCATCACAGTAGTTATGACGGTAGTCATCACAGTAGTTATGACGGTAGTCATCACAGTAGTTATGACGGTAGTCATCACAGTAGTTATGACGGTAGTCATCACAGTAGTTATGACGGTAGTCATCACAGTAGTTATGACGGTAGTCATCACAGTAGTTATGACGGTAGTCATCACAGTAGTTATGACGGTAGTCATCACAGTAGTTATGACGGTAGTCATCACAGTAGTTATGACGGTAGTCATCACAGTAGTTATGACGGTAGTCATCACAGTAGTTATGACGGTAGTCATCACAGTAGTTATGACGGTAGTCATCACAGTAGTTATGACGGTAGTCATCACAGTAGTTATGACGGTAGTCATCACAGTAGTTATGACGGTAGTCATCACAGTAGTTATGACGGTAGTCATCACAGTAGTTATGACGGTAGTCATCACAGTAGTTATGACGGTAGTCATCACAGTAGTTATGACGGTAGTCATCACAGTAGTTATGACGGTAGTCATCACAGTAGTTATGACGGTAGTCATCACAGTAGTTATGACGGTAGTCATCACAGTAGTTATGACGGTAGTCATCACAGTAGTTATGACGGTAGTCATCACAGTAGTTATGACGGTAGTCATCACAGTAGTTATGACGGTAGTCATCACAGTAGTTATGACGGTAGTCATCACAGTAGTTATGACGGTAGTCATCACAGTAGTTATGACGGTAGTCATCACAGTAGTTATGACGGTAGTCATCACAGTAGTTATGACGGTAGTCATCACAGTAGTTATGACGGTAGTCATCACAGTAGTTATGACGGTAGTCATCACAGTAGTTATGACGGTAGTCATCACAGTAGTTATGACGGTAGTCATCACAGTAGTTATGACGGTAGTCATCACAGTAGTTATGACGGTAGTCATCACAGTAGTTATGACGGTAGTCATCACAGTAGTTATGACGGTAGTCATCACAGTAGTTATGACGGTAGTCATCACAGTAGTTATGACGGTAGTCATCACAGTAGTTATGACGGTAGTCATCACAGTAGTTATGACGGTAGTCATCACAGTAGTTATGACGGTAGTCATCACAGTAGTTATGACGGTAGTCATCACAGTAGTTATGACGGTAGTCATCACAGTAGTTATGACGGTAGTCATCACAGTAGTTATGACGGTAGTCATCACAGTAGTTATGACGGTAGTCATCACAGTAGTTATGACGGTAGTCATCACAGTAGTTATGACGGTAGTCATCACAGTAGTTATGACGGTAGTCATCACAGTAGTTATGACGGTAGTCATCACAGTAGTTATGACGGTAGTCATCACAGTAGTTATGACGGTAGTCATCACAGTAGTTATGACGGTAGTCATCACAGTAGTTATGACGGTAGTCATCACAGTAGTTATGACGGTAGTCATCACAGTAGACCAGTTGACAGTCAGGTTCTACAGAAGGTCCTATTTCCTCATGTCTTACGCTCCTTATTTTTATAGTTTCTTCATGTCTTCAGAGTCAGATGATGAAACTCTGGTTTACTACAACACTGACGTCTGCTGATTAGTGTAGCACAGCTTATACCAAAGTCACATAAACAATGAAACCAGGGATCTAATGTAATCTAATCTAACTTAATCTGATCTAATCTAACTCTTATTCTGGTAGAAATAATTTGTTGTTTTTTTTTATCTTTGTTGTTGTTGTGGTTGCTTCTTTGTTGTCTTTGTCTGTTTTGGTATCATTTATGATTGTTGTTGTTGTTGTGTCTTTTTTCTTTTTTGTTTCACAACACACATTAGTTTTAAGTGAACTTTTCATGGTAATAAACTAAAACAAGCTGCTTCATGAGTTTGGACGCGGTTGAAAGCAGTTGATTGGCTCTCTGCCCGTCAGACGGAGATAGGAGGTCTGATAGCAACGATTAGCCTAGCTTAACATGAAGACTGGGCTGGGCGAACAGAGCTGTTTATCAATGAGAGCTCACCCTATAGGGATCAAATGGACAGCAGCGTTTGTGGTTGAAGAGGATGATGAAGGAGGTGATGACAGAGGAACAGAGGAAATCACAGAGTGAGCGTAAACTCACAAGTCCTCAACTCAACCTCTGGCTCTGGACCAGAGGGAGGAAGTTCAGCTGGGGGTCGAGGGGTCGGACCAGAGATTCCATCCGTTCTCCGTCCTTCTGTACAAACACACGAGACCTCTTGACCTTGCCGTAACAACATAGGCTCCAATCTCCGATGGGTCACATGACCAAGCTAATCCCTTTTAAAGCCTGGCTGTAGCCACAGTAGAGTACCATGGATGAAAGCCTGGTGAGCCAGTGTAGACCATGATCCAGCTCTGTGGAAACAGTCTGGCTGAAGACATGTGAAAACCTCTGGTCATGTGACCAGGCACTAACACAGTAGTTACAGTTACAATTTCAAAGTACTTTATCCACTGGGTGTAAAAAAAAAAACAAAAACATGTAAAACATGCTGGTGAAATAGTTTTCTTATTTATTGACTATGGTCGTACACCCGTCTGTGGTCGTACACCCGTCTGTGGTCGTACACCTGACTATGGTCATACACCTGTGTGAGGTAGGTCTACCCTCTCTCGCCCCCCTCCTGCCCGGTTGGCTGTTGATCAGTGACATCACACTCACCTGTGTCCAGTGCTGACCTGTCACCTGACGTCACCTGACGTCCTGGGTTTGTGTTCGTGTCTCTGTTGCTCAGTTTTTGTCGGATCATTGTTCTCAGTTCCATGACGTTCCCTGTGCTCCTTGTTCCCAGTTCCTGATTGTTGTTGTCTTTCCTGATATTCGGTCAGTTTCTGATATATTTACCGTCGGACTGAACTCTCTGTTCCTGACGACCGTCGGATGCTTTAACCACCTGACTGTGATCACATGATCAGGATTATAGTTGTGTTCAGATTCTAAACCTCCGTTCATGTTAGCTCTTCCTTTTTTTATTATTCAACCTCTGATCTGTTTCCTGGAACGGCCGAGACAGGAAGTGGATGGTAGAGACAGGAAGTGGATGGTAGAGACAGGAAGTGGATGGTAGATCGTAGAAGTTGTGAGGTGTCAACAGATTAAACTGGTTTATTATTATTATTTTCAAAGAGGAGGAGTAAACAAAAAGTGGCAAAACAAAAGCCAGTCTTATTTTACACTTGTGATTATTATAATTAACGTCATCATCATCATTATTATTATTAATATTCATATTTTTATTACTTTTTTACACCCATTCAGTCTCTGTGTAACATAAAGAAATAATTCTACATCTTTGTTTTGTCATATTTTTGGTTTTGTACATACAAATAACAAATACACTGACTTTTCACAATGCATATAATCTGTGGTTGGTCTGTGTGTGTGTGTGTGTGTGTGTGTGTGTGTGTGTGTTTATGTGTGGCAGCACAAACCAACTGAAAGAATCACATCCAAAAAACAAAACAAAATCAAATAAACAAACAAAAGGAGCAGAGACAGTTCGTCAACTCCCAGCCCAGACCAGACCAGACTAGTCCAGACTAGATCAGTCCAGTTTAGTCCAGTCCAGTCCAGACTAGTCCAGTTTAGTCCAGTCCAACTCCCAGCCCAGACCAGACCAGACTAGTCCAGACTAGATCAGTCCAGTTTAGTCCAGTCCAGACCAGTCTTGTTTCTCTTTTCTCTCTCCTCCTCACCTCCTCCTCTTCTTCCACGGTGTCTCTCGTACCTCTGTCTTTCTTTTTCTCGTCCCATTCTTAAAGTCTTTGTGGTAAATGTACAGTGTGTCTCACAATTTGTACAAACATTTTCAGAATCTGCGTTTCCTTAGGAGAAAATGGAGGAGGGGGCGGGGCTTCCTGATCCACAGGTGAAAGGAGGCGGGGTTTGGTGGAGGTAAGAATGTGAGTTCTTTTGGTGAATAAAATGGCTTTTTGTACAGATACAGAGAGTAACCTCTGTGGTGGTGGTGAGGAGGAGGAGGGTGAGAAGGAGGTGGTGGTACTCCTCCAACCTGTGCTCCTCACAGTTCATATGGGTGAAGCAGTCTGTCAGCGGGGGTGTGGAGGTTCCACCTTTAACCCATGGCGGTGACCATACTAGAGGGGTGGTGCGGTGCAAAGGGGATGCTGGAGGAAGGGTGCATGGGTGTGGGTGTGGTCAACATGTGACCTGAGTGGGAAAAGGGTGGAAATGAGGACATGTGGCGGGACAGCGCCGTCGGGCTGAAGGAGGTGCTCTTGTCCATCAGACTCTTGGAGAAGTCGTCCATGGTGTCGTGCGACTTTTTGCTCTTTTTGGACTTGCTGGACATCTTCCTGTTTCTGGTCTGGATTCCTTCCTTCTTCATCGTCAAAGGTCGGTTGATCTGTTCACAAAGGAGGGGACGAGAAGGAGACAGAGGAGGAGACAGGAGATCAGTTCTCAGGAAGTGTTCAAACGTGGATGGATTTCTGTCCAAAAAGCAGTTTTTGCCTGGTTTTGGTCTAAAGACCTGAGGTGGAGTCAGGTTTCACTTTATAAACACCTCCTTTTTTCTGTCTCTGTCACGGAGTTTTCTGCTCAGTCAGGATTTTCTCCAGGTCCGTTAGTGTTATTTCTAAAGGAGACCAAAACCAGGTCCTGGTGAGTCAGGATCTGGTCTCTCTCTGTCTCTCACTGTCTTCACAATCACATTCACAAATACTTTTCTGATCTCCGGGGACATTGTTGGTGTTACAGTTGCTCCTGCAGGAGCATTTAAAACAAAAAAAGAAATGTTCTTGAGTCTCAGGTCTTTTGGTCTCAACGACTTTGTGGGATCATGGGCTAATGTGAAGTCAATGACGTCTGATCTGAAAAGAAGTTTTAAAGTAGAAAACTGGACTGAAGAGTTCTCCATCAGTTCTACTCTTGGATGAAAAACTCCAGTTTCCTCCTTTAAAAAGGTCTTTTCAGATTATTACGATGACGACTGAGAAAATCCACAAATATCAAATCAATGACTTTTAATATTTTAACTAACTTTTCAAAGGTTTGACTCTTTTTTTTTTTGTTTTCCTCACCATTTATTTATCAGTAAATGGTTTATATCTTTGGACCAGTGACATCACAGAACATAACACCACCACAGTGTGTGTGTATTTCTCTGTGTGTAAGACCTACATTGTGTAGTTTGAAGTACAGTCCACAGGCGTTGCACACCGGGTCACCGTTAGCGTTTCTCCGCCACAGTGTCGTCGTTGTCGTTTGACAGTTTGCACATGATGTTCCCGCTCGCCGTGCCGCAGACTTAAATCATGAGGGGGAAAAAAAAATCTAATTTATAGAAGCTGCTCATAATCTGTGAAGATAAACATGAACCACAGGCTGAAAACCAAAACTCCAAAGGTTTCTGTAAAGTCTAATGATTTTTGTAATTATTCAAATTTTCTTTTAAATGTAGGAAATAACTTGATAAAACAATTATAACAAAAAAAATCTTAAATCCTGCCTCTAGTTTTCCTTCAGGTTCTAGGTTCACTTCTTGATCTCTGTCAAATAAATGTTCTATATTTCTGTGTTTGTTTGTTTTTTTTTACTAAAGGATAAAAATACACGCACACTGCTGGAATCATTGAAAGAAGGAGAAAAGAGGATGAGGATGAGGAACAGGGGGAGGTGTTGGTTCAGGGCTGGACAATCAGCAGAACCAGCAGCAGAAGAATGAAGAGAGACTGAGGAAGAACCAGAACCAAGAACCAGGAGAACCAGGAAAGAAAAGAACCAGGAGGAGAACCAGTAACAAGGTAAGACAAGAACCCGGTAAGAAAAAGAACTGGATAAAGAAACAGAAGAAGTAGATAATGAGGAGAACCAGAGGAGGTTCTACAGAACCAGTACTGAACCAGGGATTGGATTAGCTTAGCTTCACTCTGAACTCTGAACAACAAGATCTAAATAAAATGTGTAAATTGTGGTTAAAAGTGTGGAGCTCCCACCAAGATGTGCTTAAAGTCCAGGACTAGGTTCTAGGTACCTGGAGTCCTGCACCAGGACCAGTTTGTTAACACTACCGTTCTGGGCTACTTTTCCTTTGGTTAAAACATGAACTTGAATGAAAAGTCATATTTCTGGGTGAATGTAAATCAACAAAAAGTGTTGCAGTTAGAGCAGAGACCTGCAGGTGTCGGCTGAATTTCCTGCAGCTAAAATCTTTCCTTCCTCCTGGAGAAGAGAACAAAGACAGAAACACAGAGAGAGGACACGCGTCATAAAGGGGAGAGGAGTGACGTAGTGCTGACGTACCAGCCGCCTCTTGGGTTTAATGAGTGGACGGTTCTGTCCGTTCATCTTGTGATAGAGGCCGCAGGCGTTACACAGATAATGACCCGTACCGTCCCGCCGCCACAGGGGGGTGGACGTGGCCCCGCAGTTCACGCACTCGCGGCCCTCTGTGCACAGAGAGAAGGAGAAAAAACAAAAATTAAAACAGGAGGAGAAAGAGCTCAGGTTAGGTCATAGAAACATCAACAAACAGCGAGCAAATAATGAATTTAAATATCAGCAATAAATCAGAGAAGAAAAGAGTTCAGAGTTATCATTTAACAACAGTTAATGTAAAATAATGACGTCGTTACAATCAGTATGACACAGAGCGGTAATAATGTTAATACAACTGTCAATACCATAATGTTCTACGTGATGATTCATAGTTATAACAACGACAACTGTCACCACTGTTATATATTATAACAGAAATAAAATGTATTATTATTATTCAATAACATTTTACATATTGTCAATATTTAAATAGGAAAATGAAAACGCAATAAAACATTACTATTAAAACTGCGACAATAATAATTATTACTATCATTATGCACAATAATAATAATAATAATAATAACAATAATGCGGTAATTTACAGGTGCTTTTCTAATGCACTACAAACACTATATACACAATATAATATTTTTCTATCATAATTGTACTTTTGTTTCTTAAACATAAAATGATTTCCAACATTTTTATAAATACATTTATGTTTTTCTTTTTTGACTATTTTAAATCTTTGAACAAATGTCGATATAAAAACGAACCCGGCGAACTGTACCCCGGTCACGTGACCTTCCCGTCTGACTCGCTCATGTACATGAAGTGTCATTCTGTCATATTTATATTAACATAATAATGATTTTGCTTTGATTGACAGTCGGACACGCGTTCACTTCGCGCGCGCGCACAGAGAGGCCATTGTCTCATTTTCTTACATTTCCGCACTTCCCCGACTGTGTGTGTGCGTGTGTGTGTGTGTACTGTACATGTGCAAACACACACACAAGACGACGTTTCTAATTCACTAACGCATATTTTGAACCTCATTTATTTAATTTATTTATGATTCTTAGACTTTGTTTTATTAATTCCCCTCAACGATCGTTAACAATCATTTAATTTCCTGCCGCTTTGACGGTGTGTGTGTGTGTGTGTGTGTGTGTGTGAATAATCGACGATAATCTGTTATTAGAGAAAAACAATCCTGATCGTCGTCATTATTTAATTTCCATCTAATGTTTTCATGATAATAATCCTAATGATCTATATATTCAGTTATTTTTACCCCACTGATAATAATCTGATTACAGGAGAAATAAGTCCTCACCCCCTCACCCTGCATCTCACACCCTCACTCCGCTCCCTTTTATGTTTCTCTCTGTGTGTGAGTGAACGCGGACTGCGGTGTGCGGTGACGCGCTTTAAATTAATCTGACACTAATCAGATTAAGAGTTAAATCAGAATAAATCTTCGCTTCTATTAAAATAAAAAAAAATCTCTTTTCCATCATCGAACATAAAACCATTTTCATTTCATTGTTTTAAAACATACAATTTTTTTTCAAATGTATTCTGGAGTAAAGTGAAAATCAAGCATTTTTTTTCCAGTCTGACGTCATAGTTACCGTAATTATCATTAATCTTTAAAATAAAACGGTTTTAACGTATTTGTTATTTGATAGTAAAAAAAATAAAACTTAAAAAATCTACTAATTTAAACACACCATCGGTTATAATAATAATAATAATAATAATAATAATAATAATAATAATAAGGGCCTACCTGAGCAGGACCTTGTTTTTGGTCTCGTTTTGGTACCATAACTAGAAGGTGACCCACCTATCAGGCTACTTGGTGGGAAGAGGCCTGGCCCATATTCGGGGACATAGGGTGGGTAAGTGGCGATGGGGTGATGCGCTGCGGCCGAGGCCGCCACGCTCCTGCTGTGCGACTCCAGCTTCATGCTCTCTGCCAGGGTCACCTGGTACTTGATGCACTCTTTGTCCTCCTGACGCCCGGAGCCGGGACCGGCGCCGCTGGAACCTGCGCCTGGCGTAGAGAGGCCCGGGTCCGGGGAAACGTCCTTGGGCGGGGTGGGGGGGAAGGTGAAGAGGTGAGGACTTGAGTGACCGGCGGACAGGGACGAGCTGGAGGAGGCGGAGGAGGCCGGAGGGTACACGGACAGTCCCGCCGCAGAGCCGTGCGGGTGTAGCGGGTTCTTGGGGAACGGACTCAGGTTCCAGGGAGAGGCGCTGTGGTGAGGAGAGATGCCTTTACTGCCCTCCAGCCAGGGCAGGGATCCGTGCAGCAGCGAGGGGCGACACACCTGTCCGCCTGCGGGCACAGGGACACCGGCATCAGAAACAACAACAGGAAGAGAGAACAGCGCCGTCTGTAGTTTAAGACTTTTATTAAAGCCAGAAGAAGAAGACCAGAATCATAGTCAAACTGACACCGCTTTCACTTTTACTGGAAGTAATTAAAGTGCGCCCACACACACACACACACACACACACACTTGCTTCAGGCCGGAAAACTGTCTTTTACAGAAATGTAAATAATTCGATTAATTTCTGACGTTTTTGTCAAACTTTCACTTTAATCCAGACTGATTTAATTCAACGTATATTAAACGTGTATTCACGTATACATTAGTACTAAAATCTTCAGCCCGTGAAACATACACTTTCCACGAGATCCAGCAGTTCACAAATAACAAATCAATAGGACATATCTTTTATTTTTATATTTCAGGTCGTAAAGATAGGCAGACATTTTTAACATAAACATAACATAAATCACAAAATCTGTCCGTTTGACTGAAATGACAGCGGCCAAAAGCATTGAATAAATACAAGTGACGCTCAGTCCAAATATATATAAATTAAAAAACCACGTCAAAACGTTTTATTTGAATGAACTCAAAGACACTGAAACGGTTTTCCTGTTTTTTCGGATTAAAATGTGTGTGTGAAAAAAAAGGTAAAAATGTGTTGAGGAAATGAATCCGCGGTCGATATTCTACGCACAAGGATCGAAATCATTTCTATAAATTCAGCAATAAATTCACGGCAGAGAACGTGGAACTGATTTCACTCCTGTGGTGTGAATTTACCATCGAATTTACACGAACATTTACCGAGCACACGGACAGACTTCCAGGCACAGAATAACGGATCATTCTGGACGAACAGCGGCGCAGCACTGGAGCCCAAAGGCCCGGACTCACCGTGTGGGGGCGGCGGGTACCGCTGCACCGCCCGGACCGAGTTGCTGTAGTAGGAAGAGACGTGGTTTCCCTGCGCGTCGATGTTGAACAGAACGTCCACGTCCTCCGTCAGAGGGTACTGAGCTGGAGGCTCCATGTAGGAGTGACCGAGGCCCGGGTGGTGGGAAGCGGCGTGCTGCTCATTCAGCACCGCGGGGTGATGGTGGCTCATCCACCGGGGCTGGTCCGCGCTCACGTCCATCTGCGCTGTTACTGCTGGTCTGCAGCAGAGGGTTATGTGTTCATGTGGGGGGGAAGTGTCCAAAGTCCGCGTGTGCGTGCGCGTAAACGCGCCTTTGTGTCGGAGTCTGAAGTTAAATCCACAAGTCCTGGTTCTGGTTCTGGTCCGGCCGCTGATGCTGCTCACCTGCGGACAGAGAGACGAGATAGAACCAGTCAGAGGTGAGTCACAGGAATCAGAGAAAAGTCACGTAAAAATACAAACAGGAAACGAACCAAGCATTACAACACCCCCCGCCCTCCCACACAGGTGGGACAGACGGCTCCAGATAATGGACCACACCGACACCGACACCGACACCGCTCCTCCTTTTTAACTGGTTTTCTCCTTCTCACTCCTTCTTCAGTGCGCGTGTGTGTGAACGAGCGGAGTGTGATCCCGGCTCAACAAGTCCTGAGCAGCAGCAGCAGCAGCAGCAGCAACAGCAGCAACAGCAACAACAGCAACAGCGACTTCTTCTTTAACTCTGATCCAAATCTTTGAGTGAACAGAATTCATTCACACTCACTGTGATGCGCTCTCTCTCTCTCTCTCTCTCTCTCTCTCTCTCTCTCTCTCTCTCTTTGGCGCCAGCGGCTCAGACAGCTGTGACTGCGACCCGTCGCAACTTTAAGGAGGGTCTCTCTGTGACGTCACCATTCAAAGGGCGAGGCCTGTCCCCTAATTCACTCTTTCAACAACAGTGAACCTTGTCCAAAAAATAATACATGATTCAAAAAATATAAATATAGAAAAACAGATCTGGGTCACAGTCCAGTTGGGTCACAGTCCAGTTGGTCACAGTCCAGTTAGTCCCAGTCCAGGTGGGTCACTGGGTCACAGTCCAGTTCGGGCACTGGGTCACAGTCCAGTTGGGTCACAGTCCAGTTGGTTAGTGGGTCACAGTCCAGTTGGGTCACAGTCCAGTTGGTCCCAGTCCAGCTGGTCACAGTCCAGTTGGTCAGTGGGTCACAGTCCAGTTGGGTCACAGTCCAGTTGGTCACAGTCCAGTTTGATACAGTCCAGTTGGGTCACAGTCCAGTTGGGTTACTGGGTCACAGTCCAGTTGGTCCCAGTCCAGTTGGTCACAGTCCAGTTTGACACAGTCCAGTTGGGTCACAGTCCAGTTGGGTCACATAGCCTCGTCACAGTTTTCTCTGAAATGGAGTCACGTGTCTCATCTTCTCTCTCTATCATCATCCAGACATGATCAATCGCAGACTGAGAATTGAAGAAAAGATGTCGAGTGATAAACTCTCACCTCAAACTTTGTTCATTGTTTTAGTTTCTGCTGTGTTGCGTTTCGTACGGCTGTGTGTGCGTGCGTGTGTGTGTGTGTGTTATGAAGTGTTAGTGAGTTGGGACAGTGCGTCCTCTCGCGGTAGAACACATTTTATTTCAGTCCGTTTTTCTTTTATCTCTTCATCCCCTAATCTTTTTTATTTCCGGTGACTTTCTTCTCTTTATTTCTGATATTTCTTTAACGAGTCTCCAGAGTGTGCGCGCACATCTACACTAGCGCGCGCGTGCGCGTTCTCACACATTCAACCCAAGCGAGTTCGTGCGCGAGGCTGTTCGTGTGAACATTTATTTTTTGCTCATTTCCTTCTGATTCTGAAGCTAATATCTTCGTGGTCAGGAAACAAACCCCGTGACAGTTCTATGCCACTTATCATTTATATAATAAATAAACACATTATTGTGTGGTGTAAATATTTAACCCTAAGTTAAATATTTAAATAAATAAACAACGATTCTTTTAACAATTTATTTTTCACTTAATTATTTCTTTGATAAATATTATATTTATTTGATTTATCTCACACTGTAAAAACACCCGTCCATTTTAAATCATAAATCATTTCCTCTTATTAGATGCAGCTACTCAAATGGTGGGTTGTGATCCAAAGGTGGACCAGGGGACTTCTGTAACTGGTCCCTAGAACTGAATCTGGTTTTACTTAGTTAAAAAAAGTATGCTCTCAAAAATATAAATATATGAATATATATGAATATATATGAATATATATATATATATATTAGTTTAGCAGGTAGACGTGATCAAGGAGGATCATCTTAAATCATCATACATTTTTGTTTCTTTAATGTGGACAAAATTAGCAGTTTGGTTCAATCTTGGTCTGATATTAGTTTGAATTCTCCTTCAGTTCAACATGTTAAATATTGACCTGTTCTGGAAACACCGTGGGTTTCAATCTCAGTTACTGACTTATTATTATCATTGACTGGTAATTGTTACTAGTAATACTATTAATACGATTATTCATAATATTATGACCACATTCTTACCGTCTTGTTTCGTCACACAGCCGTTCATTCGTTCACCCTCTGACTTTCATGTCAATCGGTGTCTCACAGCTGAAATCAAAGATTCGGTTCTCGTGTATCGTTTGTATACAATACGAAAATACATAATACAATACATGACAAAATGCAAATCTGAATAAAATAATAAATGTATTTTATGTTATATATTATATATTCTGTTATATGTTATATATTATATATTATACATTATATATTCTATGTTATATGTTAAATGTTATATATTATATATTATATATATGGTATTGAATCTAAAAATTCAACATTTTCAACATTTTATATTCGTGCTGAATCAGTTGACCGTTAACATGAGAACGAAGGCGATGACGTTTGTATTAAATTTAAAGAGCGTTCGTTTCACTGTTTTTACACTAAAGGGTTCTCCAACAATTAAAGGGTTAATCTGTCAAAATAATCAAAATTCGATTAAATTCGTTTTTTAAAGCAATTTGTGTGTGTGCTGCGTTCTTGCGCGTGTGTCTGTGTGAGTGAAAGAGAATAAGTGTGTGTGTCAGAGAGAGAGAGAGAGTCGTTTTTTATTTAACGCTGACTAATTTCAATAGACCTTTCAAGAAAAAACAGTTTAGAAATTAAATATAAAATGTGTGTGTGTGTTTCTGAGAACCACAGCAGCTGGTGGAACGCAGTTCTTAGAACAATTTCAACAGAAGGAACCGCATAATCTGACGGGAAAATAAAATGATTCCTCATTTGTGAAAGAAAATAATAAAGTTCGTATAATTATTATACACGGACCACGTGGTCTCTCGTTTTAATTCTGTTCTAACTCACGGTTTATTTAAATAGATTTTAATAAGCAAAAAATAAATTACCTTATATTTGGTTCCATCACGGTCCAGGCCTCACACACACACACACACACACACCTTTAGTCCATTTCATTAGAAACCAGGTTTTTGTCCGTTGTTGTTTTCATCTCAGTCTCTTCTCTGTTGTGGCCGCAAAAATAAGACAATAAAAAAAAGACTTTATGACGGAGTAAAAGGAGAGAGGGAGAGGGGGAGAGGGGGAACAGAGAGAGAGGGAGAGAGAGGAGGCTGGGGGGGGGGGGGGGGGCGATCG